GCATTCATCCTTCTTCTCAATCACACCAAACAGCCACAGCTCCTTCCATTCCATTTCTCTCACATACCATTCATTCCAACATCTACCAATTAACTCTTTCATCCTTCCAAAAAAAACAACAAGCTCTTTACATTCAACAAACTCATGCAAACACGTTTCAACCTGATCCTTACACACATCACACTCTCTCTCAATAGTTGCATCAAAATGACTAATGATCAGGTTGTTAAACACCCTATTATGCCTCAACACAAAATCAAAGTTATCACATTCAATACTGTTCCACTTAATTTTCACATTCTCCCACATTCTCCTGCCAGTCATACCGTTCACAACACTCATCCACACTTCTCTGATGCAGGTCTTCTAATCACATCCCCTTTTAACCATTTATATATTTTTTTTGTTTTCACATTTTCTATTTTTACATTGACATCCTCTTTCCCCACATATAAATCCACCACACTCTCCTTTCCTTTAACACTCTCATTCTCAATCATTGTTAACCATTCACTCGGCATTCCTTCTTTGATTTCTTCCATCATTCGTTCAGCTGTCCCTAAATACATTACTCCATCTATTTCCCTAAACCTCATCCACTATCACCTTTGCCCTCATAAATCCTGGTACATACTCTAAAACTACATCCTTAACCCTCCTAATCCCCGCTCTCCACATTGGCAGATTGAACAAGGAACACTGCTCATGAGTGATCCTGGGGTTAGGAAGATCGGCTGCTCCCACACCTGCTGCACATTCACACAATCAGACCTAACATACTTCAAAAACTCGCCCCATGCACTCATTACTCTCCCTTTGATAAGCACTCATACCATTCAACATCCCCTTTTCAGCACCATAAAAAATAGCACCATAAAAATAGCACCATCCTCCACATTTATTTATTTTTTCTTTTAAGAACATTTTCCATATCTGGTCCTCCTTATTTCCAAGGTAGCGAACCATCATTTTAATTCTAATTGCTTTTATTTTCCTTCTTAAATTGATCAGCTTTAACCCTCCATCCCTACACTCATTTTCTAACACTTCTCTAGCTATCTTTACCCCCCTCCCACCCCATATAAACTCACTAACTATCTTATCTATTTCATTCACTACACATCCGGCACATCTAAAACTGTCATTATAAAGTGCCCTACTCATAATTAACCCATTCACTACAACTTCTTCCCCCTCAACTTAAGCCCCCCTCATCTTCACAAACCTTCAACGTCTTCACTAAACCATTCACTAACTCTACATACTGTCTGTCCCCTACCCTCCACATCTTTAATTCCCACATTGATCCCCAACACCCTAAAATAATCCTTATTTTCCTTCACCCTATATCACAACTCCTATCCCTCACCTGTCCTATGTACATAATCTCTGACTTTCTATATTCACCCTAGCTCCTGATGCCCTACCATACAAACTAACTGTCTTCAACACTTCCCTAACACTTTCCCTATCTTAACTGTAATGGTGGGTCATCCGCATACTGATAAAACTAACTAACCCCCCCTCCTGCACCTCCACTCCCTTTGATATACCTGTTGTTGCCTCAGCAAGCGTCGCTAGGGGCTCGGCTGACAGCGTGTACAGCATTGCTGATAGAGGGCATCCTTGCCGGACAGACCTCCCTAACTTAAACACATTGGTTACCACCCCATTCATCTTAACACAACTGACTGCACTACTATAATCCTCCTTACCCACCCTATTAATCTTTTCCCAAACCCTGCCTTTTCTAACACTCTATACAAGAAACCATGACTAACCCTATCAAAAGCTTTATTTAAATCTAAACTAACTACTATCCCACCCTTACCCTCCTTCATGTGACTAATTGTGTCCCTAATACTACTAATAGTGTCACAAATATCTCTCCCTGGAATACTATATGCCTGTGTGTTCCCCACTACTGATTTTATAACCCTCTTAATTCTATTTGCTAACACCCGTGCTAGCACCTTATAATCCGTGTTTAACATACTAAGTGGCCTATAGTTTTCTAACTTCTCCCTATTTCCTTTCTTAAACAATATACTAATTATCCCTGTAGATATGCCTGCCGGCAATTCGTCCCTCTCCTCCAAGCTCTTGTACAGTTAAGGAGTATTGGTGCCAACCCCTCCCTAAATTCTACATAGAATTCAGACGTCAGACCATCTATCCCTGGACTCTTATTCCTACCCAGACCTGCTATAGCTAATTCTATCTCCCCTAATCCTATCTCCCCCTCACATATGTCCCTACCTTCATCACTCAATCTCCTCGCTTGCCATACTATCTATCACCTGTTCTAAGCTCTCCCTATCAATCTCCTCCGCCTCAAATAACTCCCTATAAAATTCCTCAACTATCTCAGCAATCCCTACAAAATCTGATATTATTTCTCCTCCCTTTCCTTCAACCCTCTCTATATTATTCTTTCGCTGCTTTACCTTCTCTAGCGCCAAAAAAAACCCCTGTACTTTTCTCTCCCTCAACTGCATACCTAGCCCTACTTCTTATTATAAGCACCTCGACACTTTCTCTTCTCTATCTCCCCCAACTCATCCTTCAACCGACTATACTCATCTATATCTCTCCCTAGTTTCTATATCTACCTTTTTAGCTTCCCACCTTTAACTCTTCCCTAACCCTTTTCTCTTTTCTATTTTATTCCTATTTTTACAAAAACCTATACTTATCCCTTTTATTTCATTTTTAAACCCCTCCCAACACACTCCCACATCCTCACCATTCAAACCTCCCCTTTTTTCTATACATTCTCTCACTTTAACCTTATATCCATCATCCTTCAGCAGACAGGCATTTAAGCACCACACTCCCCCCCCCCTCCCTTTTCTCACTGTTCCAATGCAGAAACTCAATATGTTGTGATCACTCATGGCAGTATTCCTATATTCAATTCCGCCAATTTTCTCCCCTAAATTACTCCACACTAAATCTATTCTACTCTGTTTTAATATCCCTCCCACCACTTGATTCCTAGAAAACACCCTCTCCCTACTATTCCTTTCCCTCCACACATCCAACAGCCCATTTGTCCCCATTATTGTTTTGAGCGCACCACGTGATGAATCACTATTAAAACCCATATTCACAGACACATCCAGCTTCGAACACCACACATTGAAATCACCAACAATCATACATTTTCCCCCACATTTATCCTTCAACCCTTCAAAAAACTCCCTCCTCCTCCTTGTCTCATTCGGTGCATAACGTTTATTAAATTAAAGGTTTCCCCATACATTCAAACATTATCCCAACCATCTCCCAACACCATCATCCTCAACTTCCTTATATTCGTTACCCACCCCTGGTTTTAATTAATATTGCCGACCCCTCTAGCACCCACACCTCCCATTATTTACATACATTTCTCCCATCCATTCTTTCCTTACATCCTCCACACACCTTTCATCCCAATGTGTCTCTTGCAAGCAAATGATGTCTGAGTCGCATATTATTAAGGCCTGCTCTCTCCTGTCCTTGGACCTCAGCCCATTCCCATTGAAAGAGGAAATTGTCACCATTACAAGTGTTATTAAGGTTATTATTGTTTTCATTCTATTTATTTTTTGTCCGGACCCTTTGCAGCTCCTCCTTTCGCTTTCACCCGTCTTCTCTCCACCACTTTCTCCTTATCGTCTTTCCTCTTTGCATTTAGCCTGCTGGATTCTCTCCTCATCCCTCTGCTCTTTGTCCCAGCATTCGCCCCGCCAACGATCTTCTCCTTTATGGGCCCTGTTATCTCCACCTCCTCGTCCTCAGACTCGTTCTCCTCGTCGTCTCCTCCCTCCTCCTCCATGTCCGACACAACCGAGCTGACCTCCATTCCCTCAGCCATCTGTCCTCCACCTCCTTCTCCTTCTCCTTCTCTCCTCCCACCGACAGCTCCTCCTCCATCCTCAGGATCAGGTTCACCTTCAACGTCCGCTTCAGCCTCGGTATCAGTTTCTGCCCCCAGAATAACATCCACCACAGCCTCTGCTTCAGTCTCAGCCAAACCTTCACCACTCCTCGCAGTCTGGTCCATCGTCCACAGCAGCCGGAACAGCAGCAGTATTTGCTTTGCTACTACACATGTTCCCTTCGTCTGCTTTCCCCTTCTTCCTTGCTCCATCTCCTCCACCTCCCATGGCAGCCTCATCAGCTGCCCTCTTTGCATCAGCCGCCACAAACACCGCCGCGACAGCAGCCACAGCTTCCTCGTTCATCCTGCTCCCAGCCTTATCATGTATATCCTCTTCTTCACTTTCTTCCTGACTTTCACCTTCCTCTTCCTCCATTCCATTCTCCACTTTATTTTCCGCCTGTGCACTTTCTCTCCCCCTGGCTCCGCTCGCCCCCTCCTCCCGAGTCACACAGTCCCGGGCATAGTGTCCCTGTTTCGCACATTTATGGCATTTAAACTCAGGGCATTCTCTGTATAAATGCCCTGGCCTTATGCACATCCTGCAGACCGGTACCTGCTTGTCATGAATCACCCTAAAGTATTCCGGCCCCTCTAGAGTCTCGAACCTTGTGGAGTAAGGAAGTGACCGCACTTCCTTGTTGAACTCCACTCTCAAAAACCTCGTCCCATCAACCACATCAGTGCCGGGCCACATCCTTCTCTTTATTGCCGAGACAGGCAGAACCCCCCACATTGCCAATCTGCCTTTAATTGAACTGTCCAATATATACGAAGGTATATTTAAGAATGACACCGTGAGCTCTTTTGTCATGCAGTCTCTGCCCCGCACCAAAGCCCCATTTATTCGTATTCCATCCAACAGTTTATTTTTTCCTTTTTCTTCAGCCATTGTCACTTCATATAGCCCATTTCCTTTCACCCGACACCCCATCACAATTCCGCATTCTTTTTTAACTCCTTTTAGCAGATCCATAACAGTTACTGCTTTTCCACTCTCCACCGTCACCACAACTGTAAGCTCCTTTTTATATTTTTCCTCCTCCACAATCAACTCAAACAGCTCTCTCACCTCCTTTTGTTTTCCCACTCCTGTTTTTTCATTTTGTCCATTCGCATTTCCGTTGTCATTTTCCATTCCTTTTTCATTCACTGATGTCCCGTCTTTCTCCGTACTCTGCTGTAATTTGTCAATGTCCGTGATCCGTGACGCAGTTGATAATTCCATTCCCGTTTTCTTTGCCAGTTTATCCGTCCGATCGAAAAAAAAACACACAGGTCAGGGGAAACCCCCAGCCAGCAAGGCTGTTTGGGGGTGACTCAGAACAACAACAAAAAACACAACTATAAGTTTGACGAAACAAAAGATATCCACAAAACAAACAATTCACTTATTTCCTCCTCAGACCAAAGTCACGCACGTCCGCTCACAGTCCAAGCCCCTACTGACTGAGCCACTGCCGGACATGTATATATATATATATATATAAGGAGCATTTTCTACAACCAGGTGGAAGAGAGCTCTCTCCTGACAGACTGAGAGGCTCTGATAACCTCAGCTCAGTCAGGTAAAGGCACACCTTTATATGATCATTATAGTTGTAAAAAAATAAGAGAATAAATGAAAAACAGGTATAAAATACTATATGACAGTAAAAAAGGTTGTTATCAATAAACAAGAGTACAGTTTGAAAGGGGAGTGATTTGTAAAATATCCATAAGCACTTTGGTCAACGTGGGTTGTTTTTAAATGTGCTTTATAAATAAATGTGATTGATTGATAAAGGTTGAGGTGGTTCGGGCACCTAGTTAGGATGCCACCTGGGCGCCTCCCTAGGGAGGTGTTCCAGGCACGTCCAGCTGGGAAGAGACCAAGGGGTAGACCTAGGACCAGGTGGAGGGATTATATCTCTTCGCTGGCCTGGGAGCGCCTTGGGATCCCCCAGTCAGAGCTGGTTGATGTCGCCAGGGAAAAGAAAGTTTGGGGCTCTCTGCTGGAACTGCTACCCCCGCGACCCGACCACGGATAAGCGGGAGAAGATGGATGGATGGATGGATAAAGAAAAAGAAAATCTGCTTACAGTTCTGTCTCATATGGGTGTTGAGAGATGTATCCATAGATCTCCTCATGTTGCTCTCAAAGTGCACCAGATTGAGGCTTTTAACGTCAACATTTAAAACAAATCTTCCCGGGGGAGCTTGCCCCCGGACCCCCCTAGAGGAGGTTAGGTCCCCCCGACTTAAATTATGTTCACATGGATAGGAAACTAAATACATTTGCACAGATCTTGTGTCCATACAGTATCTTTCTGTTTTGGTGGTCATGCCACACCGTGCACGTCGTGCATGCATGCTCGAGTCATGGTAAGATATCTGGATTAAGAGGTTGCTTTTTCTTTGCACAGCATGAAAGAAAGGCGAACTGAATGGCCTGTGATTTTTGTTTTTTTAAGCACGGCCCTCGTAGGATGTTGTAAAAATGGAAATGGCCCTTGAGAGGAAAAAGGTTCCCCACCCCTGATTTACCCGATGTCCTTTTTCATTCATTTAAATGTCTACCCCTGATGTGAAATGTTTGTAGACACCATATATGTTGTTGAATAAAGGAAAAGGGTTGGGTGTAGTCACCTCCTGTTGGAGCTGCACCAGCTGCTTCCTGCTGGCTGCAGCGGTGCGACCGCAGGGACACGGAGCAGCCCCCGGGCACCGGCAGGCCCCCAGCACCGCCAGCTGCAGGACACACACAGGAACACTCTGACAACTGCATCTTTAATCCTACTGTCGTGTTCGGGTCAGATCCGGCCGATTTACTACTTTCATCAATCATAAATATTGTGTTTTATATTTGATTGCCTCAAGGCCTTATAATATCTTCCACAGTAGGCATTTGAACATATCAAATTGCTGATCACCACTTAATTACATTTTGAGTTGTTTAGTACACTTTATAACTCTTGTGATCCCAGGCCACAGGAAATGAATGGGATCATTTCCTGTAATGTGATTACTGCTGTTATCAACAGTAACGTGTCACATTACTGATTTACAGACAAATGTAATCTGATTACAGTAATGCATTACTTTGTAGCATGGTACCCCAACACTGGCCCGGTGGCAACTTGGCAGGTAACTTTAGCCCCATCAAGTGTTTTGCGTGGGATGTTACTGTACTGGATGTGAAGCTTTGTCCTAATTCTTGACCAGACTATGCGTACGGTGTGTGCAGCTCTCTCACCTCCAGATCAGCTGCGTCTCTCTCGGGGCTGTACTGAGGTTTGGTTCCTTGGTAAGCTCTCTGCTCCTTCAAACTCAACAAGGAGAGCAGCTCCAAGCACTGCCGACTACAAGCTGCAAACACACACAAACACATCAATCCGTGTGTGGATGAAGACAGGGACATGTGGTTGAAAGCTCTGTAAAAAGCTTTTTATTGGACGTCGCTCCAAAACATATATGTATTTATTACACAGAAGGACAGAAGTCGAAAGACAGAGACAATCTGTAAAATCAACGGAAGAATACAGACAGGAAGTAAACACTAGAGGGAACAACAGAAGAAGACATGCGGTAAACACTAAAGGGAACATCAGCAGAAGACAGACGGTAAACACTAAAGGGAACAGCAGCAGAAGACAGACGGTAAACACTAAAGGGAACAGCAGCAGAAGACAGAGGGTAAACACTAAAGGGAACAGCAGAAGAAGACAGACAGGAAGTAAACACTAAAGGGAACAGCAGCAGAAGACAGACGGTAAACACTAAAGGGAACAGCAGCAGAAGACAGACGGTAAACACTAAAGGGAACAGCAGCAGAAGACAGACGGTAAACACTAAAGGGAACAGCAGCAGAAGACAGACGGTAAACACTAAAGGGAACAGCAGAAGAAGACAGACGGTAAACACTAAAGGGAACAGCAGAAGAAGACAGACAGGAAGTAAACACTAAAGGGAACAGCAGAAGAAGACAGACGGTAAACACTAAAGGGAACAGCAGCAGAAGACAGACGGTAAACACTAAAGGGAACAGCAGCAGAAGACAGACGGTAAACACTAAAGGGAACAGCAGAAGAAGACAGACGGTAAACACTAAAGGGAACAGCAGAAGAAGACAGACGGTAAACACTAAAGGGAACAGCAGAAGAAGACAGACAGGAAGTAAACACTAAAGGGAACAGCAGAAGAAGACAGACGGTAAACACTAAAGGGAACAGCAGCAGAAGACAGACGGTAAACACTAAAGGGAACAGCAGAAGAAGACAGACGGTAAACACTAAAGGGAACAGCAGAAGAAGACAGACGGGAAGTAAACACTAACGGGAACACAGTATTGGCTCTTGCAGTGTTTAAAGAAGGGACTATTTTTTCTAAGCAGAAACAATAAGGTCATTTTTCAATAAATATGTTCTAATGAATATTTGTTGTCAAATTATTGATTTATCAGTAAGTCATGATAGTGAAATGAACCATGACGGGGGGATTCAGGACCCCTTCTATTAACGTCAGGGCTCACCCTGTCGGGGTACCTTTCGCTTTAATGCTGAATAATACCGTATTTAGATGCTAATCGTGCCCGTTGGTAAGTTGGATTCACTGCATGTAGTTTCCTCCTCACGCTGACTTCCAGAAGGATCCACTCCACTTCACAGATGGAGATAATGCGTGCAGACATGTCTAGGTCACCTCAAAGTGATTCTACATTATTCAGCATTACCAGAATGTTCTGCTCGCAGCTGCTGCATCTCACTCTCTCTTTCCTCCAGGCTGTCAGTCAGAGCCTTGTTCTCACTCAGTATTCTGATTACAACAACAGCAACAACAATACATTACAACACAAACCAGTGAGAATACCGCAGACATGTGTGTATGTGGATAAAATGGGACCTGTTGTATTTCGGCTCCCAGGACTGCTGAGACTTTTTCATCTGGACCTGGCTGAAGCTCAGTTCCCACTGCAAGCTGTTCACCTCCTGCAACATCGTTTTAGATATAGATATTAGATAACAGCTGGTCTCACGCATCAACAGATGCGTAATCAGAATACAAAAAAAAGTTACTGTATTCCCTTACAGTTACATTAAAAAATATGTAATCAGATGACTGTTACATAAAAACAATTGGGGATTACTAGCTGTACTGTTCTGTAGGATAATACTCTCAGTGTGAATCTATACGTCTACTGCCTGAATCTGCTTTATGGTTTTCACTTTCTTTGCTTCATTAGTTCTGTTTTTAATTCAGCAGGTGAACCTATATGTTCATAGAATAGTGTGTGTGAGCTTAAGTGTGTGTGTTAAACTAAAACGGAGCATTTTAGCTCAGATTTTATTTCTGCTTTTTAAACTGTAGTATGTGCTCATGTGTTTCAGTGTTGGTGTCATACTTGCCAACCTTGAGACCTCAGAAATCGGGAGCATTTCAAAACCACCGCGGGGGGGGTGCTAGTGGATCGCCGGAGCTGTTAGATTAACATTAACATGCTTATTGTAGTTCTGAGTGCAATGCCCTGCGGTCTGTAGCACCATCCTCTTGATGGAGCATATGTGTGGGCTGGATCAGGAAAGGAGTGAGCAGAGGGTCGAGTTGTCCATTCTTGTTCTGTTTTTCTGTGACTATCTAGTTGCGCACGCTACTAAAGAGAGGCGCTACCATGAAAACCAAACACTGGTGTAGCTGTAATAAAATCTGAGTGGAAACAGTCGTGAGTAAATCAGATGTTGTCAGAAATCGGGAGAAATGCGGGAGAAATATGACCCCGGGAGGAAACCGGTAGAGGGCTATGAAATCGGGAGTCTCCCGCAAAAATCGGGAGGGTTGGCAAGTATGGTTGGTGTATAAGCTGCTGCCTGAATATGCTGAGTGACAGGCAGCTTTCCTATCAATAAAATAATTTCTGATCCCAAATATCTTGGTTTCTTGTTTTCTAAGGTTTCATTGTTCTGTTGTCTTACATAATACACTTAAGTAAAACACATCTTGTTGATATGTATTTCTCTTTTAATAATCTGCATTGCATTCTGTATTAAAGTAATCCAAAAGTAACAGAAAGTAATCAGATTGTATTACTTTAGCATTTTGATACTCAAATTAGGTTACTGACTTAATTTGTACAGGTAACTAGTAAATCGAACAGATTACATTTTTTAAAGCAACCCTCCCAGCCCTGTATGGTTTATACAAGCCCTAATAGAGTGTAGCAGGAATGACTTATAAAACCAGATGTGAGTTAGCATTTAAGCACATCTGGGTTCCCTTCTTCTCAAAGTCAGTGTGTTTTATTCACTTATTTTTGGTAAGAATACTCAAATAAAAGAAGTGGTCAACACTGGCTTATGGAATGTTTCACCATTTGTTCTACGACATACGTCGGTAAATACCCCGCTGGTGAATGTCTTCTATGAGTTGTAAAAACAGCGCTTGATAACAAGTGACTAAATGAGACGACTCAACATCCCCACGCCGAACATTAGCCGCCTTTAGCTTAGCGGCTGTGGCATAAAGACCCGCGTTAATTACACTAAGAAATGTGAAAAATGTCTTTGTTATTCCCATCTTAAATCATGATTATATTAACACTTTCCTTTTGGAGCCTCTAAGGAAAATGTTTTATTATATCAGAAAGTGACGTCATGTTTGGGGTTCACCATGGAAGGGGATGATGCTGCTAACTGTGAATAAGCTGCACTTTACATGCTGTTGTTTGAGCGTTACGACTTTAAGGCTGTGTCACTCTCTATTTGCTACAGTATAAAGTCAACTATGTTTACTCTCCTACCTTTTCTTTGAGTATATGTTCATTTTTGTGCTTCATTAGTAGTAGACGATTTTTCTCATTCATCGCTCTTGACCCATTTTATATTTCTTGTTATTTCTCATAGCGTGTATTCACTCAAATCTCCAGTTGAGATCAGTCACAGAGTGTCTGTAAACAAATGTGTCTTCAAGCAGTACCAACATGACCTGTGGCATTACACCTGTATCCTAGGAGCAGTAGGAACCTGATTCAGACTGAGAGTAAACAGACCCAGCCTTTGTGTGTGCAGCCTGCACTCACACTCACCTTCTCCAGAGCTTTGGCCGTCGCCTCACTTTTCTGCAGCAGACTCTTAGTGTGACTCGTGGCTTTGTCCAGAATGGTCTGTGTGAGGAAGAACATTCCTGCAGGCTTTTATTCAAATTCATATTCCAAGGAGATTTATTGGCATGACCAAAACATAGTATTGCCAAAGCATGTTGTACCAGGTGTTACAACAACAAAATACACATAAAACATAACACTAGTCAGTTGCCTCTCTGACTGAAGGCAACTGCTCCGAGACTGAGTTCATGTTAATATGTGTTTCAAACATAGGGAGAATCAGTCCTACTTGCCACAGTACGATTATAACGCCATACTAGCAGCTGTGTAGAACTTTCCAAAGCGACTATTTCAATGATCAAAAAGCCCAACCAGTTTCTAGGACTGGAATACGTGTCATTTTCTGAAGGTTTTTCTGGAAGGTGTGGTGCTCTCGTTTTTCATCAACTAATCCACTGATTCCTAACAAGGCTTCACATACTGGTACTCAATTAGTATAGGGTGGCTCAACAGAAATATATTTTAAAATAAAAATGAATATTAGAGAAATTAAAACATGTAAACGGATTGAATTAACTATAAAATAGTTACCAATCTTGAATAAATGGTTAGTTAAAAGTAATCTTAATATATTTGATGATATGTCTTGCTTTTACCCTAATAGCCTGAATAAGTGGCTACATTTTATGCAATCTTTTTTAATGATAAATAGTTATTTTTTTAATATTTTCTTTTTAAAATCGTAATATTTTTTAACTTCTCTTACAATTGATTTTCTTACGTTGTTTATGTTTGCACCATCGTACGCCAAAGCAAATTCCTTGTATGTGTAAATGAACCTGGCAATACACCTGATTCTGATCTGATTGTGATTCCTTTTATTACTAAGTATTATTATGTGCTTACTTATTCTGACAATGCTGCACGTCTGTACCTTGGATGCTATCTTATTTTGTTATTATTTTAATGTGTGCTTGCTTTTTCTATGTTATTCTACTTGTACTTCGCCTTTAATCTGCACCGTCTCCTTCGCTGTAACAATGCCAATTTCCCCGGCTGTGGGACAAATAAAGGTGTGTGTGTGTGTGTGTGTGTGTGTGTGTGTGTGTGTGTGTGTGTGTGTGTGTTGGTGTGTGTGTGTGTGTGTGTGTGTGTGTGTGGTGTGTGTGTGTGTGTGTGTGTGTGTGTTGCTCTACCTTCCCCTGCAGGATCTTCAGAGCTTCGTATTTGCCTTCCAGGTAACGATGTGCCACCTCCAGCTCAGAGCACAACACCTCTATCACCTGTCAGGGGTCAGAGGTCACATTAGCAGGCTGCAGTCAAGAGGACGAAGGTATTCAAATTCAAGTTTAACATCCTTTTTTCTCATGCTACCTCAGTTGCTTCCTGCAGTCTGTCCTTCAGCTCGTCTTTGGAAAGGTCAACCAGGGAGCCTGCGTATTCACAACAACAAGTGTGCTCTTGCATTAGAGGTCATTGGAAAGGTGTGTGTGTGTGTGTGTGTGTGTGTGTGTGTGTGTGTGTGTGTGTGTGTGTGTGTGTGTGTGTGTGTGTGTGTGTGTGTGTGTGGAGCTTTGTAGATTCAGAGCAAGGTCATCTGGATTGTGGTAAAGATAGCAGAGTGAGTTGTGTGCAGATTGAAATAGGAACAGCTTCCTGCTTCAGAGCAAAACCATGCCTCTAACATGCCCTCCATCAAAGGCTGCCCTTTGAACAGCAGAACACACAATAAGAAGTGGCCCTATACATCACTGCTCTTCATAGGTGTCATTCATACTGGGGACGCTTGGGACGTGTCTCCACCTCTTTTGGAAATGGACAGTTTTGTCCCCACTTTGCATTAGGATCATTTGTTAAAATGTTAAATAAATAGCATGCACAAGTAATTGTACACTTTGAGAAAGGTTTATTTGGAGAGAACATGTATATTCTGGAGGACTGTTCACTTTAGGGTGTATTTCTGGTGACCCAAGTGGTGCAGTTTGGACCTGAGACACGTTTAACAATAGTAAAAATGTAATAGAGAATAGTGAATAAATAGTTGTTCCCGCTTTGCAGCAGCGTGGCATAGTTACTGCACTAGTTGTCATAAAAAGTATTGTAAGCATAATGTAATAATAATAATGAATTGTATTTGTAAAGCACCTTTAATTGTGTGTGTATAATACGTTTGTATGTTTGTATTGTTTGCGCGTAACGCAGTAGTGTTTGTTGTTGTTTTTCTGAAAAAACTGTCCCCACCACTTTCTCTAACAATCCATGCAGGTCTTTCTACATGGACTTAGAAAGAATGCAATATACGATGGACATTAATATGCAAATATGCTATAGATAGATGTTATGTCTTGTTGTCATGGCTCTGTTGATTTGTTATTATAGGTCATTGCTATGTAATAAGCAATTAGGGGCTGGCTGGTATGCTAGAGGCCTTTTACTTTAAAGTGGACCTATCATGCTATATTTGAATAATATATTGTAGGGCCATACCTATATAAAACATGTCTGTGAAGTTTTTTTTCAAAATACCAAACAGATCCTGCATTTTAGCCATGCCTCATTTCGCTCTATTTGCTCTATTCCAGCCCTGTCTTTGCAAGGGCTGATTCTGTGACGTAGCTTTAATGCAAATGAGCTGCAGCTGACCACGCCCCCTGCAAAGGAGGGGGGCGAGGCACGAGCGTCATGTTACCATGCTGTTACCATGCTGTTACCATGCTGTTACCATGCTGTTACCATGCCACGGTAACCTCTCATTCCCCTGATAGGTGGAGAGTTGCCCATATAGGCGGAGCTCCTTGTTTCTGACGTCAGAACAATTCAAATCTGGATCAGTCTGTATCAGATCCGTTCCAGCCCCGTTTTTAGAGATTTGGGTATGGAGGAAAAGAGAGAGGGTTGTGTTTTCTGACACTTGGTGAGTTCCCTGACACACCGGGGACACATGTTCATGTATAAAAGACGTACAAAAGTGCATTTGGCATGATAGGTCCCCTTTAAAGGTCCCATGTCATGGCCATTTCTCCTGATCATAATTCCATTGTGAGGTCTACTAGAATAGATTTACATTGTTCAATGTTCCAAACTCACATTGGTTTCTCACAGCATCTCTGTATAGTCTGTGAATTCACTCTCTGTCCTAAACGGAGAACTACTTTTGTTGCTTTTGAATCGAGGACGTTTATGTTGATGTTTATATGCTGCCTGGATTGCTTAATAAATATTGGATGCAACGCTATACAAAGATCTCTGCATTTGATTGGCAACAAATTGAAGTCAGAACCCAAAGTAAAGTGGTATTTTATTTTAGAAACGGATTAAACACCACAACGCTCTTCTTTAAACTCTACAATATAGACAGAGGGTTAGTCTCAGGTTAGCACTGATGGAACATCAACGGAGCATACAGTACTATGGACTGACCAATCTCAGTTTAAACCTCTTCAGTCTGAGATAAAACTGCAAATGTCCCCTCTGTGGGACGAATAAAGGTATTCTGAATCTGAACGCCAAGTTTCAAAATGAGCTGTTCACATACTGAAAACTAAACCTTTATACCATTCCCCACTATTTCCTAAAATGTCAATCTTACTGAACTGTGACAGACTGGAGTCAGTTTAAATAGTTGTTTCCTCATGGAAAACAATATAAAACATATCCTGATTGAAGACCAAAATTCCTTAAAATGTTAGGTATGTAACAAATGTATCTACTTCCAACTTTAGTTATTGTGTATTCCTTAATTAACAAATGTATGTTTTTTGTATAATAATGACAAATTAAGAAAAGATGCTATTTGAGGGTGAAAGAAGATAATTTGATGGTCTCTTCATCTAGTTCTTGTCACAGTCAAGGGTCTGTTAGGGCCAGTCTTTTGTTTTGTAACAAAGGGCCAAATATTTTCACCTAATCGTGTAGTCGACACTATAAAGGACTACATTTCCCACGGCGCCAGCCTCTAAGGAGACAGATGGGTAACCTGTGCTGGGCTGTCCCGCGGGGAGACAGCTTCTAACCGTTAAGTTATTATCCTACACAAAGTAAAGTCTTTGTTGAATGTGTATGAAAAGTGTATTATTTTATTTAGATTAAACGCAAATAAAAACAAATGAACAAAAGATAACGCATTAGAACTGTCAGTTTAAGGCAGGGGTCTCAAACTCAAGGCCCGGGCCAAATCCGGCCCGCGGCTTGCAAAGAATATAATACGTTTATTATACGGTTACATGCCACTTTACAGAAGCAGGTTGCCCATAAACCACATGTCCCACAATGCATCTCGTTTTGTGACATGTGCACTGAAGAGACTTGCAATTATTTACCCTGGACTTCTGCTTTCAGACATAGTTAATTACTAAGTTATTATCCTATCCGATAATAATCAAATTCAGAGGCAATAATGTAATATATATATATATATATACATTATTTTATATATATATTATATATTTATATAGTTACAACCTGCCCTTTGAGTGCAACCTTTATGCGAATGTGGCCCGCGATGACATTGAGTTTGACACCCCTGGTTTAAGGCGTCTAGTGGCCTGATAAAACCGCAGGAGGCTGGTGCGAGAGAGTCACAGATGTAGTTACCGGAGCAGGGGGGCCTCCAGTGGGCCCTCTGCTGGGGCCCTGCTGTCTTCAGGCCAGGGATCCAGGCGCCCCCCCCCAGGCTGCTGCTCCTCGGCTCTGCTCTGGACAGCAGGCTGTCTGCTGTGAGGCTCTGGCTCTTCTTCCTCAGGGGCCCACTGGGTGCTAACCCCCCTGTCCCATCCCCCAGGTCTCCTTCCAGCATGTCATCGTCCAGGCTGCAGGCCCCGCTGACCTCCTGCATCTGGACCAGAGGTGGAAAGTAACAGGAAATGTACTCAAGTACAGTACTTAAGTATTTTATTTGAGTATTTACATTGTTTGCTACTTTTTACTTCTACTCCACTACAATTCAGAGGCAAATCGTGTACTTTTATTCCACTACATTTATTGAAGTAGTATACAATAGGGAGAAGTACTCAGATCTTGTACTTGAGTAAAAGTAGAAGTACCAGAGTGTAGGAATACTCTGTTACAGTAAAAGTCCTGTTTCAAAATGTTCCTCAATTAAAAGTAGAAAAGTATTCTCATCAAAATATAGTGAAAATAGCGACAGTAAAAGTAGTCGTTGTGCAGATTGGTCCATTTCAGAATAATATATATGATATGTTTTATAATGATTGATCATGAAAGTGTTCTCAAAGCTGGTAAAGGTGCAGCTAGTTTGAATGACTTTGTATACTGCAGGGTAGCTTGTGGATTTACTCCAGGTGGAACTAAAGTCTGATTCAACACTTGATTATATTTCACATCATTCATCCAGATCTGTGAAGTAACTAAAGGTACTAAATAAATGTAGTGGAGGAAAAGTACAACATTTGTCACTGCTTTGTAGTGGGCTTGAAGAGTACAAAGTAGCAAAATATATTAGTACTCAAGTAAAGTACAAATACTTCAAATTTGTACTTAAGTACAGTACTTGAGTAAATGTACTTAGTTACTTTACACCACTAACGATCTTTGCCCTTTACCAGTGTGTTCGTACCTGAACTGTGCCACCATAATGACAGAAATGTCTCTGAATGATGATCGTTAGGATGGTTACTTCCTCTTACCTGCAGCTCTGAAGCAGTGAGCGTTATATTCCTGTTGGCGCTTCCCAGCGGACTCAGATAAAACCCAGTTAGTGAAGTTTGATCCCAGAGTTACCTCCGAAGAGACAGCTCTAACAAGTTTAGAATATTTGTATAGATAACTCGGCGGAGTCGCTTCCTTTCTGCACCTGAACGCAACCTGCCCCAGCGTTAACCAAGCTATCCGCGCCCAACACTAACTACTTCCGGTCTTGACATGAAATAAACTCAATATATTTTTCAATTAAAAAAGCACGATGCATCCTCACATAACTGAAGTCATTAACAACGTACCGTCAAATAAGTAGAACAATTCACAACCTTATTACAATTATGACAGGAAAACAGAACAATTTTAAATTCTAAAAATGTAGTTATGTATTAGATTAATAAGGTATGCATTATTAGCCTTTGTAGATTTAAAAAAGGTATCACAGAAGGAATTATTTCTTAAGTTTTCCTCAAGTTAAATATAGTTTAGTGCGTCACCAAGAACAGAGGGACTATTTAAAGGAGCCTCCTGAAACTGTTGTAAAGTAAATATTGGGTAAAGGGGTGTGTGCGAGTAAAAGCAAGATAATGTGCTATTAAAGAGCCCAATGATCAGTTTCACACATTATTTTTATTCACATTCTTCTTAAGAAATAAACTATTTGTCCATCAAAAAGGCATTTACTGTAATTTTCCATCCGCCCATGGAACACAGTGAATGTAACAGATGTCAGTTTAATGCTTGGCTTGTTCACAGACGGTTCTCCATCACAGGTTCATCTAAGGTTCAACAGTCACTCAGCAAAGCAAAGAGATGTGAAGTAAAAAATAACAAATGCTGAACATGCACTTCACACAATAAATACTGACAATATTTTAACTGGCACAACTGAACTGTCAAGGGTCACTTAGGAGAAATGAATCCCCATGCTTTCATATTATCATGAGCCTGTTTTCCAGCTTAAGAATCACAGCTTCCATTCGACAAAACAATCTTATCTTCTACAGGTGACACCTCAATGAGGCAGAAACACTGGTGATACCAGAGCTAGTATCACAGTCATCAACACACTATGGAGTACAGGTTCAGGTATGAATACAAATCTAAATTCTCAAAGGTCTGAATTCTGAGGGGAAAGTGAAAGTATACCAGCTTTTAAATAGTAATATTGTTTTTCCTTTGTCAATCTCAGACCTGGTCTTGTTTTTTTCACGTGTCGCTGATCCTCCTGCATACCAAGCCAAAACTCATTCATAAGAACATCCAGTGAAATAGTGGATGTGTCACAGTATGACAGCGGATGTGTTAGTCACTGTTGTAGTCCTCTATGAGCAGCTCCTCCTCCTCTAGAAGGTCTTGGCTTGTTATAGGCTGGGGCTGACTTTCAGGTAATCCTTCCTCAAGCCCAGCCTGACCTTCCTCTTCCTTTTTCTGCTCCTCTTCCTCCTCACTGTCTCTCTCCGGTTGGGCTGGCTCTTTGTCTGTCAGAGCCTCCAGCTTTAATCTGCACACATCAGATCAATGCAGTTTACATAACTGCAATGTACAAATATCTATTTAAATTGAAGAACAGATGTTTCTTATAAGGACACCTGCACATCATTCTAAATCACGCTTACGGAATTTATGTTAAATCACGCGTATCCATAGTAACAATCAATGTTTGTGATTTTAACCAAAGGAATACAATTACTTTTAAGCTCTTGCAACTATATTCATATTACAAATAACACATTGATGTTCAAATTTGTTTAACTCATTATCACTTTTTACTGACAATGATGAACTTCAGCTAAATACATCTCACATAATAATCCAAAAACACCTTCAGTCCGAACCTTAAAGAGAAAAATATAAACATCGAAATAAAAAAGGTACAATTTGAAATGAGATGCATTTGCTTAAGAATGATTGGGAGTCCCTAGTGAGTGCACCTTTAACAACATTACACTTGCATCAAACCTGTTGTTCTTACAGTGTACAAAATAATGTATTCACTAAAACACATGTATTTGGTAAAATAATCATATTACTTTTAGTTTAATATAATGTGACTGATCATTAGTACTGTTATAAAGCAACTTCAAGTAAAAACGCTGAGTTAGAAAGTAAGACTTTAGGTCATGGGGACTCACAGACTTGAAGTGCATTATGGGGAAATGTGAAATTGTGTGCTTTACCTGCCGGGGAGCCTCCTCAGCGACATGTGACCCACATCCTGGATAAAAGCTATCTGAGCTGGAACACAGTGAAGCACAGAGCACGTCTGTTAATAAAGTCCAACACACACACACACACATCCAAATGCATTCACAGACTCTCACCGCAAAATAAATCCTTACTTTGTTCACAGTCAAAAATACAATTCTTCAGCCAGCACAATGACAAAACAAAAATCAATGAAACACTAGGAAATTCCACCTAAAATAACAGTACCACCATCATTTGTAGGCGTTTTAAGCACGAGGCTTTGATATAATGCTTTAATGTCAATAGAGATATTAGCAAGGAAACCATAGCAACCGAGCATGTTATGAATGTGGCAGATTAAAGAGGTTTAGGGCAGTATTTTCAGGAAGGAGATACATAATATATCTTGGCATTTCTACCAGGTGGGCTAAATGCTCAGTTGTTAGTCAAAGCTTTATAGTACATTTGACAAGCGATTTTATTAAAACAGACGTCACATCATATGACATGGTTAAGCTACTTTACGAGAAATTGTTAAAGACTTTCAGTTACAAAATATATTCATTGTGTTTGAAACAATGTGTTGTTCTGAATCTGAAGGGTTATGATAATACATGTTACTTTGTCAAAACAGACTATCCTCAAATGATGCTCTGTGGATCTGCAGCATATTGAGAGGCAAACTGAAAGCTACGCTGTGCATGAACCACCCTTGACAACTTTACTCTTCCTTTTTAGTAAATATAACTAGAATTGTATTTCTTGGACATTTTAACTCAACATCTTATGTTTATAGAAATATCTTTATTTATTTTGTAATGTTTTTACTGCACATTCCGACTTATGTCTATATATTATTTTAATTGTATTTTGATCTTTAATTTACTTTATTCTAAACTGTCATGAACCCAACTTCCCCGGGGATAAATAAAGCATTCTGACTGATTCAAAGTGTGAGATTTGACTCGTTTAAAAACACATCATATAAAAGAAGAAAAAAACAACCATGCATGTATCAAGGCAGCGGGTAACACATTGTATACTTTATCAACGGCCAATGGTGCAACGTTATTACTGATTTCAACCAATGCGGTTACTACGCTCATTAACATCAGCAGTGTGTGTGTGTGTGTGTGTGGTGTGTGTGTGTGTGTGTGTGGTGTGTGTGTGGTGTGTGTGTGTGTGTGGTGTGTGTGTGTGTGTGTGTGTGTGTGTGTGTGTGTGTGTGTGTGTGTGTGTGTGTGTTACCTTGGTTCCTCAGAGGGTTGGTGAGTTTGGCCAGGTAGGGCAGCAGCTCTGTCTGCAGGCTGACCGGTGTGAGGCAGAAGCTCCTGAACAGAGACTGAGCAGCCAGGCCATTCTCTCGGTGCTGACAGGAGCAACATCAGTGTCATTACAGAATACTTATTCCTCAGACACACGACAGGATTATATTACATGTGGCTGGCGCTTTTATCCAAAGCGACTCACAATAAGTGCAAACACCATAAAGATTTAAACTCCGAACAGCAAAGAAAGTGCAGATATATTCACTCCAAGCGAGTCAGACCGTTGTAAGTGATGGTAAATTATTTACAGGGCCTAAATTAATTTTAATTAAACATTTGTATATATTTAATTGCCAATCTAGAATGGAAACAGATAGGTCTTCAGCTTGTGACGGAAGATATGCAGAGTTTCTGCTGTCCTGATGTCAATGGGGAGCTTATTCCACAATATAGGAGCCAGGATAGCAAACAGGCGTGTTTTTGAGGGGTCCCACTCACAAGCCGATTGGCTGATGTAGAGCAAAATTGTTTTAGTTGATATATTCATGGTCAAATGTATAATCTGAAGGATGTTCTATACATGGTTTACCCTTAATAACAAGGACTTTGACAGTTGTTTGAATCTGTGGATACCTTTTGTTACAGTAATACTATCCCAAGTTCCCAACTATGCAAACCTGCAGTTGAGGGCACACGTCCAGACTTAAGAGCTTTAGGAAGAGGTAAGTACAATCAAATTGTTACATTTTGTATTTACTCATGCATATTAAAGTGAGAACGGTACACCTTTAGTCTCAAGCCCCCGGCAACTACTGTACTTTTGTAGTAATGGTTCAGGTGACATCTCTAGTTACAACCATGCAAGATGCAGTCACACAAATGTAGAGTATGGCCATTACATAATGTGTCTACCAGACCATAGCCAAATGAGCTAGTTTGTCAGTTACCCTCTTTATGGCGTTTCATTAAAAGAGCCAGGTCTTTGTTGCAGACAACACAAGTTAAACCAGTCTGTAACTTTTAGCCACAGCTAAGCCAGTGACAGAGCACGATGTGATGCGTCTTACCTTTTTGTTGACCAGCAGCCAGTTGGGCTTGTGAAGCGGTCTGAAGCCGACAGAAACCTGCTGCGAGTTGGAGTGCAGGAGCCCCCTGGTGGCCACTGAAGACCCATAATACTCCATGGTGCTGCGACTCTGAAAACATCATTACACAACCTTTTGGTACAGATTGTTATGATCAACAGTGGTGTAAAGTAACTAAGTACACTTACTTAGGTATTGTACTTAAGTACAATTTTGACAGACTTGTACTGGACTTGTTCAATGTTGTGTTACTTTGTACTTCTACTCCACTACAATTCAGTTAAATGGTGTACTTTTCCTCCACTGCATGTATTTAATACCTTTAGTTACTTCACAGATCTGGATGAATGATGTGAAATATAATCAAGTGTTAAATCAGACTTTAGTTCCACCTGGAGTAAATCCACCAGCTACCCTGCAGTATACAAAGTCATTCAAACTAGCTGCACCTTTACCAGCTTTGAGAACACTTTCATGATCAATCATTATAAAACATATATATATATTATTCTGAAATGGACCAATCAAACAACGACTACTTTTACTTATTTAGATGCTGATACTTTTGTACTTTTACTTGAGCAACCTATAAATGCAGGACTTGTACTTGTAACAGAGTATTCCTACACACTAGTATTATACTTTGACTTAAGTACAAAATCTGAGTACTCCTCCCACCTCTGATGATCAAAGTATTCATATCACTTTTTAAATGTCTAGGAAAGACTGACCGTCCAATCAGAATTGAGGAGGTCAGCATCAGACAGATACTCGCTGGCTCGGTCCACATCCTCCACCTCGGAGAAGAAGTCCAGGTAGTTCTGGTGGAGGTACAGGCTGAAGAACTCCCCGGACATGTGTGAGCGCTCAACAACAAACTGAACGAAGAGATAAAGACAGAAGTGTTATTATTGTTTGAGCATGCCGTTTGTTATCTGTGAAAGCTAGTAAACAAACGTGTGTGCACCTCAGGGTCTACGAGTAACGCTTCTCTGTGATGATGAGACAGGTGAGAGGGTAGAGGGGGTCCAGGGGGACTCTCAACCACTTCAACATCTTCCTGTTTCCCTCCTGGTAATGACAAACACACAAACTATTTGACAACACTGACAGAAGCTATTTGAATCATCATCAACTGCATCTGTGCTACCTGTGGAAATGGTCATTAAGGTTTTTATTTATATAATTTATCTTGGAGTTTTATTAGGGACATTTCCTTGTAAGTTGGTTTTTTAATCTTTTAACCTTTATTATAAGGTTTTGATTATTATTTTTATTTTAGAGGTTTTTATATTTTGTTGTATCGATTCATTTTTGTCTTTGTTTTTTTCCGAGGGATCATTATTTATTGTTTTTATTATCATACCTTTGACCTCCTTGTGTCTCTTAAACTGTTCTATGATGTTGCTGCATGTTAAAGGTCTTAGCGTCTGATCTGAGGGGAATTTCTTCTTCTCTGTTTTCATTTGTAATGTGTGCCATGTTGTTAAAGCACTTTGAGCAGAAATAATAATAATAATAATAATAACTATAACTAAAGCTTTATTTAGCTGGCTCACTGATTTGTGTTTCTAAAAACAGAGGAAGAAGATAGTTCAGGCTGTTACACACCCTCCTGGTTAGGAGACACTTGTATGGAAACAGGGAGATATGACCCACGTTTGCAGTGCAGGATCTTCCCCAGAGCTCTGAACAGGAAGAGAGAAGCATCTTTCCCTCCAATAGCCTGCTCCTCTTCCTGATCCCTTTTCTGTTTAGACCTCTTCTTCCTCTGGTTTGTTCTGGAAACAGCTTTGCCCAGTGATGTCCCCTGTCGGTCCTTCCTCAACAGCCCCTTTTCCAATGACGTGTCTGGAAGGTTACAGCAATGGCAGAACTTATACATGTCAGTTGATTAGACAACCACGATGTTGAGTGCACGTATACACTCCCGACCCCCCCCCTCCGGTGTGGTGCGTGTATTATCCGCTGACCTGGGAGGGAGGAAAACTGGAGGCTGTTGATGGCACTGCGAACATCTCCTGAGCTTCCTGAACACAGCTTCTCCAACACTGCCTGGTCAGGGACGCACATCCTTCCCCCGCTCTGCGTAGAACAATGGGAAAGTACAGTGTTAGAAAACCTAAAAACTCGTACCAATATGATTCATCTACTGCAAGGCTTCCTTTCACCTTGCCTGCCTCCAGGGTGGAAATCCGAGAGAGGACCTTCATCATTGTGGTTGGAGCCACCGGATTAAAACTGGCAACAGAGAGCACACAAAACAATGTTCAGAGGAATCCTTTAGATCAGCGCTTTTCAAAGTGTGAGGCGCGCCCCCCCGGGGGGGCACCAGAGAGCTTCAGGGGAGGCGCAGTGTGAGAAGAAAATTATGAGAAACAGTCAAATCTAGCTAGTTAAGCTAACGAGCGGCAACATGGATCCATTTTTTGTGAAGTTACCTAAAGTGAGAGAGGAGACAGCGTCTGGCAGAAAACGGGGGAAGTATGACCACGATTATTTGAAGCTAGGATTTTCATGGACCGATCCTGGCAAGGGCGGACTGGCCATCTGTGTGTTCTGGAGAATCACAGAACGGCCGGCTCGGTTCGCTGACAGCCGGCACTGCCCTTTATTTTAATTTGATTAATACTTACTTTGATCAAAAGCAAGTACCGGTCAAGGCTGCTGCCAGAGGAGGATCTGCGTTTATTCCTGTCTACATTGCATCCCCGTAACATCCGCCTGTGCGCTTCAAAGACGCAGACTCATTGTTCGCACTAAAGTAGGGGTGAGTGTAAGAAGGAGGCAAAGTTGACGTTCAGTGTGTTGCCGGGAGCATAAGCATTTATCCACGATGTTGAAAATGTTAAAAATGTTTAAAACATAAAGATAAAAAGGTTTTAAAAAGTTGTTGTTTAATGTTCTAAGGAGGTGACGCTACTATGACATGTCTCTGTTGTCCTGATGGAACTAGGGTACACCTCAACAGGTGGCCAGTAAATCAGAAGGCTCATACAAAGACACCGACAGCCATTCACACGCAAAAGGCAATTCAGAGTCGCCAATTCACCAAACACATGTCTTTAGACTATTTTGCCAAAACAAGATTGTTTGTTCTTATACGCTCATCCCGACCCCAATCGTCCCTCCTCAGTCCACAGCTGGGATTAAACTGTGTCTAACCTGATGCTGCTGATGTCCAGCTCCTCCTGGATCTCTTTGGGGAAGAGATGGCGAGAACTGCTGTCTCCGCTCAGACTGTCTGACACTATGAACACCAGGGGACACCGACTGGTCTTCACAAAGCGCCTGAAAGAACCACAGCAGGACACAATCTCACAAAAAGAGCAGGGAACACAAGGTGACACAGATCATAGAGCACATAGAACTACTACCAAATACAATTACTAATACTATGTTTGTAGACCGAGCCGGAAATTAGCATCACAAGGACAAAAAGTAATGAGATTTTTCAATTGGATTATGGAATATTGCAGAAAATAAGATCTGTGGCAAATACACGTTTATGATACTTAAATGCAAAAGCCATAAGTAAAAAGCTAACGTTATTAAAGGCTTTAATAAAGTTCTATAAACAAACTACAGCACACACACACACACACACACACACACACACACAACACACACACACACACACACAACACAAACACACACACACACACACACACACACACACACACACACACACACACACACACACACACACACACACACACACACACACACACACACTACACACACACACACACACACACACACACACACCCACACAACACACACACACACCACACCACACACACCACACACACACACACACACACACACACACCACACACACACACACACACTTTTTGTAAGCTGGAATTGAACACAAACCTTATTTAGGACATCTAACCGAAATCTGATATGAAAAACATCGACTTGTTGACTAATTTCCGGGTATGGGACTAATTTCAGCTCCACTCTTTAAATAGACACCTGATAGACTACTGTGTGTCCTTTAGGAAGTATTTTATAAAAAGACACTCAATTCCTAATGCTGAGGAACAAATGTCTCCAAGGTGGCAAGAAAGGTTTCAAGCCCCCTATAATTCCCATTTACACTGAAATGAGGGCAATGAAAGCTGCAAAGTTAAACAGCAGTGCTGGAGTTTCTGTGTGAAAGAAGTGCACAGTGTAAACTCACCTGAGGATATCGTGCAGGCTGTCAGGCTGCCTGTAGAACTGGTTAGGGAAATCCTGAGGAGGGACATGTGAGTGTCAAGTGTTGTCTCAGGTGTGTGAAAAGAGATCTAAACAAAGCAGCTTTGCAACAATCACTGAAATAGATAAAGGCTAAATAAAGATGTGAAAATAAAGATAAAGGAAAAATTGAGAATATGCCGAGGAGGAAAATGAGGAAGAGCTCATTGATTACAATCTAGTTTGTAAATAAATTACTATTCGTCACAATTATGGACGAATGCTCCTGTGCCAGTGGTTACAATGTGGATTGTTTCCCTTAATGTCTACCCCTGCAATGTATCTGGTATCATCAGATGATACAATAAGAGGGTTAATACATGACAACAACAAAACATGAACAGAATATGAACAGTACAGCATTTCAACAGTCAGAGAGAACTTTAGTCTTTTTAAATACAGTGGAGCATGTCAATGGGCTTTGAAAACCCTCACCAGTTGCATAGTTGGAGCTAAATACTTTAGCTTCAGGGATCATAAAAACTGTGGCAGAGCTGTTACAAAATCTACAGTCTTTAAATGTCATCACGTCCATACAACATGAGAAGTGCATAACAAAGAAAGACAGTTATAGAGACTCAGTTAAGCAAAACACATCGCAGGTGCATTAAATAAAAGAAAGGGAACAATGTCTTCAGTGTAGTACAAACCTCCACCAGTATGAACTTCCTGTCTGTAGCTCCACCATCACCAACCATCTTCAGGCACTTGTATTTGTTTGCTCGGAGAAGGAAGTCCTGGAACTGGGTTAACTGGGAGGTGAAGGACAAACCATTTGTCCTCCATTCTGAATTTTTTTTTAGAAATAGAGACACATCAGAAAGAATCCTGGCAATTCACACATTTGAATAAAACACAGTGTGCACATCGCTTTTAATTAGTGGTGCACGATAATTATCGGTCCGATATTAGGAATTATGACGTCATCCCGATAAACCCGATACCAGTATTAATAGCCCCGATAATATACAATATATTTTTTGGGTAAAAAAAAAGAAAATAATACTGCGGTGTGGGTGGATTGGGATGAGGGGCGCTTGCTTACCCCAAGTGAAGGAGTTCAAGTATCTCGGGGTCTTGTTCTCGAGTGAGGGAACAATGGAGTGTGAGATGGGCCGGAGAATCGGAGCGGTACTGCAGTCGCTTTACCGCACCATTGTGACGAAAAGGGAGCTGAGCCAGAAGGCAAAACTCTCTGTCTACCTGGCCATTTTTCGTTCCTACCCTCACCTATGGTCATGAACGAGATCGCGGATACAAGCGGCCGAGATGGGTTTTCTCCGCAGGGTGGCTGGTGTCTCCCTTAGGGATAAGGTGAGAAGTTCGGTCATCCGGGAGGGACTCGGAGTTTAACCGCTCCTCCTTCGCGTCGAAAGGAGCCAGTTGAGGTGGTTCGGGCACCTAGTTAGGATGCCACCTGGGCGCCTCCCTAGGGAGGTGTTCCAGCTGGGAAGAGACCAAGGGGTAGACCTAGGACCAGGTGGAGGGATTATACAGGATTATACGGTGGGGTGTACGGTTAAACCGTACACCCCAGCACGTGCACTACGCTCTGCATCAGCCAAACGACTCGCTGCACCCTCGCTGCGAGGGGGACCCAAGTTCCCATCGGCGAAAACACGTGGGTTTGCTGTCCTGGCTCCAGGATGGTGGAATGAGCTCCCCATTGACATCAGGACAGCAGATAACTTGCACATCTTCCGGCGCAAACTGAAAACTCATCTCTTTCGACTCCACTTCGAGCGATAGAACTATTAACGAAGCACTTTTATACTAATAAAGGACTGGCTTATCTAAAGCCAGTTGAGTAGCACTTGAAATGTTTGGCTCTATGAAACCTGATGTACTTATATGATTCTGTTTTCTTCAAGGTTGTGTCTTCCTGGTCGAATGTACTTATTGTAAGTCGCTTTGGATAAAAGCGTCAGCTAAATGCAATGTAATGTAATGTAATGTAATATCTCTTTGCTGGCCTGGGAGCGCCTTGGGATCCCCCAGTCAGAGCTGGTTGATGTGGCCAGGGAAAGTAACGTTTGGGGCTCTCTGCTGGAACTGCTACCTCCGCGACCCGACCACGGATAAGCGGGAGAAGATGGATGGATGGATGGATGATAAGGTCCACTCTCAATCCTTAGCAATAATCCACATAACGTCTCAGTTTCAGTTCAACAAAAAAACATCTTCCTTAAATACCTAGTTCCCCCCCACGCCACCTTAAATGAATACAGATAAGGGGAGTTTTTCCATCAGAAAGGCAATCCTCTCTGAGGTGAATGATAATGGCCTGTATTGTTAGTGTGACAGTGGTAGGACAGGGGGCTTCCTCCTCACCATGCTGAGTGCTGCTGTATGGCTCCTCGTTGGAGGGGTTAGTCCACTCCTGAACCCTGAGGTCCAGCTCCAGAGATAGAACCTTGACTGTGGCAGTCTTCCCACAGCCCGAGGGTCCCGTCAGCAACAACACACCACCCTGTAACTGACACAGGTGGGAAGTAGTGAAGTACAAATACTTTGTGCTGTACTTAAGAAGATTTTTCTTGTATCAGTACTTTACTCAACTATTTACTTTTCTGACAACGTTTCACTTTACTCCTTATATTTTTTAAACAAATACCTGTACTTTCGACTTACATTTTCAAAACAGGCTTGTTTTTTTTGTTTTTTTAAACAATATGTTTATTCATTTGTCATTCTTTTAAACAACAAGACACACCATCCCTTACAACACTTACGACAACAAAACATTAAAATGAAACAAATGATGTGAAAAACAGAGACAAAGAAAAGACATCATTACAAAAATAAAATTGAAATATATAATAAAAATAAGAGACATTAATGAAATTAAATTTAAAAATAAAATAAAATTGGGCAGTAGCAACATTATCCTAAAAAGTGTACAGTCACAGCAGTTTAAGAAGTACTTTACTTTTCCATTCAACCATATCGCTCTCATGGATTCCCATTGTTATTTCTTAGCATGTTGAAAAAGGGAAAAAGTGTCCCTTTAGACTGTTCACACTTAGTACATATATCTGGAATGTTATTATTAAACTGATGTAATTTCACAGGTGTTATGTACGTGCGCATCAGCCAGTTGTGGTGTAGCAATCTTAATCTGGTATTCGCAGTTTGTCTATGTGCCTCAGTACATATCACACAGTGGTGAACCGTCAGGGCCTTCAAGGTATTCAGAGAATACCCTGGAACACTCAGATAAAACAAACAAAAAATCGATTTAATTATATAAATAAAATGTAATAAAATGAATAAATGATAATGGTATCTGTGTTGTTGATCTGTAATATTAAAGTGTTACGTTGATTTGTTTGTCCTTCTCGGACCATGCTCTACGCATTTCAGTGGTTTTGTGTTAGAAAAGAAAACAACCAATCAGATCTTGTTCTGGGTCTCTGGGTAGAATATCCTTCAAGGTATTCTACATCCTTGATCGAATGCTCTGGCCGTTGCACTGAATGAGAGCGTACGTTTGGACTGACAGTTTGATCAACCAATCATATATTGATTTGTAGCCAATGGGCGTATTCTTTCAGAGTTCCCCTCGGTTCCAGGGTATTCTAGAAGGCCCGCTAGTTAACTGGCTCGAGACAGAGGATCTAGAGATGAATGTGACGAAGCAATTCATGCCGTTTTATTGTTTTTAACGTTGAAATGGCAAGTGCAACAGGTGAAGATGAAGTTGTTGCGGAATTGTTGTGAGTACCCTTTTCAAGACGACAATTCTGTGAACAGACGGACATTATAAATGTTGCCGCGGAGGGGGGCGGCGGCGGCGGGGGGTGTGTCGTGTGTGTCGTGTGTGTGTCTACCATGGTGTCTACAGAAGGTCCAGTTGTGATAGACACGGTTCGCCACTGATATCACACCCCAGTCATCCAAGGAAATATCCTCCTGTATATCTCCCTTCCAGGCGTTAAGCCGGTCGGTAGAGGATTCAGTGGAGTTAAAAACGTCATATAGCACTGAAATAAGCCCTGAAATAAGCCTTTTCCCATGACAATTATCAGAGATCAATCGTTCCAGTTCAGAAAGTGGTGGGGGAGTTAATAACTGTTTGCGGGATGCAGTTATAAAGCTTCGTACCTGTAAGTATTTATAAAACTGCTATTTGAAAGGCCAAATTTAGTACGCAACTGTTCAAATTACATCAACGTTTCATCTTGAAACATATCTCCTATCTTTATTAGACCTTTCGTTGCTCAATGATGGAAACCTTGCTCCATTCTTCATGGTTTAAATTGTTCATTTCCCCAGATTGGGGTAAAACGGGACATTGACGATTTTCCCCCTAGTACATCTTGAATTTTATACCAAACATTGATCATATTCAATACAAATGGGTTAGATGTTTGTTCCCTGAGCTTTTTAACATTGGCAGAATACATGTATGAGTTAAGTGGCAATTTAGGGGTAAGTGAAAAGGCTTCAATGTCTACCCACGCTGGGACTGGGTCGGGGGAGAAGTAATACATTATGCTGCGTAATTGGGCGGCCCAGTAATACCACTGGAAGTTAGGAGGTTTGAGTCCTCCTCTGTCATACGGTAAGTATAATAACGTCAAACGTAGCCTGTGTCGTCTATTATTCCAAATGAAATGCGAACATGTTTTCCTCAATTTAGTGAAATGCGATAGTGGCAGGTAAAGGTATGTTTTGAAACAGGTACAATAGTTTTGGAAGGATATTCATTTTCAGTATATTTATTCGCCCTATTAAAGAAATTGGCATATTAGACCATCTTTCCAGTGATTTATAAATTGATTCAAGAGCAGGATCATAATTGTTTTTTACAATTGTTCCCACATCAGGCACTATATGTATACCTAGGTAGGTAAAAGAGTCTGTTGAGTTGAATGAGGACACATGGTCCATAGGATTGCATCTTTCTTTTCCATTCAAGAACATTATGGAGGATTTTCCATTATTCACCTTATAACCTGCAAATAATCCAAACGTTTTAATTACATTTAGTAAAGCTGGAATTGAATTAGCTAAATCTGTGAGGAACAAAATGACGTTGTCCGCGAAAAGAGCTATGCGATGTTCTAGCTGTCCCAACCTGACACCTGAAATATTCTTGTGTGTCCTGACTGCTATGGCGAAGGGTTCTATGGCAAGTATAAATAGGAGGGGTGACAAAGGGCACCCCTGTCTGACCCCCCTATTAATATTAAATGGTTGAGAAATAATATTGTTAGTCAGAATTTCAGCTGTGGGTTGAGTGTACAATAACCTTACCCAATTACAGAAAGCAGTCCCAAATCCAAAACGGTATAGTGTTGCATATAGAAAAGACCATTCTATTCTATCTAACGCCTTTTCGGCATCGACTGATCGCAGAGCAGTGTCTGGCGCGTCTTTCCTCTCGTGAAGTAATTTAACACTGTCCGTACGTTACGAAAGCCTTGTCTCCCTTTAACAAATCCATTTTGATCCATATCTATAATGACAGGGAGAACAGACTCCAATCTACGTGCTAATACTTTGCAGAGAATTTTAATGTCCGAATTTAGAAGTGAGATTGGACGGAAAGATTGGCATTTATGGGTTTTAAAATTAAAATGATCATGGCACCTCTCAATGAGGGAGGGAGTGACCCGTTTTTATAGGATTCCTGAAGCCTTTCTATAATTGGAGTTAAAAGTTTCCTCTTGAATTTCTTATAAATATCGATTGGTAATCCATCAGGACCAGCTGCTTTGCCAGCATTCATGGCATCAATTGCTTCTATAATTTCCTCCGTTGACAAATCAGAGTCCAGGTTGATTTTTTCTTCATTTGAGACACTTGGGAATTTTAAATTATCCAAAAATGAAGTTTGAGCGTCCGAATTAGGCGGATATTCTGAGGAGTATAACGTTTCATAGAATTGTCTAAAGGTTACATTTATTTCTTCAGGATCCACAGTCACATCTCCCTTAGAATTTTCGATTGCATTAATAGCTCTTTCTGATTGTAGCTGTTTAATTCTCCAGGCCAGAAGTCTCCCAGTTTTTTCTCCCTGATCATACAAATTATGTTTAAGCTTCAACAAGCTATTCGCAGCCCTCTCAGCAGATATTTGATTGTATTCAGCCTTAAGAAGTAATAGTTCCTGATGTGGGTTTTCTGAGCTATCCATAAACTTGTCTTTCTCTCGCACTTTAATTTTATAATCCAGCTTTTCCAGTTTTTGACGGATGCGTTTTAATTTAGGAGACGTAAAACTTATAATCTGTCCTCCCAAGAAGGCTTTAAAAGCTTCCCATCTGATACAAGCCGAGGTCTGACTTGTGTTCATTTAAAAAAACATATCTATTTGTTTCCCAATAAAGTTTATAAAAGCCGGGTCCTGTAGCCAGTTTATATGAAAACGCCATCTCGGAGGGCTATTAACCAGTTTAGAATCTACATATGTAAAAGGTATCGAGGCATGATCAGATAACACTATGGCATCATAGTTGCAGTCTTTACATTTTATATCTCATCTGTGTTGATATTAGAAAGTAATCTATCCGTGAATAGGTTTTATGTGTGCTAGAGTGACAAGAATATTCTATATTGTTTGGGTTCAGTTCCCGCCAGATTTCTGATAAGCTCAAATCCTTCATAAAATGTAATATAGATTTTCTAGCTCTAATATGGGACGTGTCGAATCCAGTAGATTTGTCTATTTGTGGGTTCAGGGCCACATTAAAAATCTACTAAGTACCTGCTTCACTTTAGTTAATTTACCCAAGCCCCTGCAATTCCAAGATGTAACCTTAACCTTCATAGATTTAGACATACCTCGATCGACCATATATTGTGTTTTATAGGTTGTTCAGTGACTGTAATAGTGAGTGGATAAACAATGCTGCCCTAACAAAATACGTGTAAAAAAGGACATACAGTGGGGCAAAAAAGTATTTAGTCAGCCACCAATTGTGCAAGTTCTCCCACTTAAAAATATGAGAGAGGCCTGTAATTTTCATCCTAGGTACACTACACACAACTATGAGAGAGAGAATGGGGGGAAAGAATCCAGGAAATCACATTGTAGGATTTTTAATGAATGAATTGATAAATTCCTCGGTAAAATAAGTATTTGGTCACCTACAAACAAACAAGATGTCTGGCTCTCACAGACCTGTAACTTCTTCTTTAAGAGCCTCCTCTGTCCTCCACTTGTTAACTGTATTAATGGCACCTGTTTGAACTCGTTATCAGTATAAAAGACACCTGTCCACAACCTCAAACAGTCACACTCCAAACTCCACTATGGCCAAGACCAAAGAGCTGTCAAAAGACACCAGAAACAAAAAATTGTAGACCTGCACCAGGCTGGGAAGACTGAATCTGCAATAGGTAAGCAGCTTGGTGTGAAGAAATCAACTGTGGGAGCAATTATTAGAAAATGGAAGACATACAAGACCACTGATAATCTCCCTCGATCTGGGGCTCCACGCAAGATCTCACCCCGTGGGGTCAAAATGA